TGACATGACTTCCAAGCTTCTTTTGCTGCCACTGTTTAAGAAACCCCAGGCATTTTGATAGAGGCTCAGAAGGAACCAAGGCATCCGGTTCCAGACATGATTGCAGTCACATGTGCAAATGGTTATTTTAAGCCAGCAAGTGTAGGAATGAACAGTTACACAACATACACCTGATACAGAAATTAGCACCAACAGTGAAACTGCTGCCCTAACAAAAACTTAGAACACATGACACTGCCTCACAAAGGCTGTAATAGTGAACAAAATTGTACTAGCAGAGGCTGGAAAAGTAAAGAAACTGCTACTGAAAGCTGGAAAGACAGGAACTTGTGTCTTGTGGTGGCAAAACAACTGGCAAAACTATGAAGTTGTGATTCTGGCTAAGGTGGTTTCCAGGAAATGTTCAAAGCATCAATTGGCTTATTTTGGCTCTGTATAGTAAGGCATGGGAAGACAGAGATGAAACAGAGAATCTGTTCTGCTGGGTTGGATCCAGTCTCTGCAGCAAGTTGAAAATTCTCAAAAGACAGTGTTTCAGGGTAAGGACAGAATCAAGCCTGTGGCTGTTATGCCCTTTGCTATGACTTCAGATTTAAGTCATAAACCTAACAGACCTTCTTATGTAGACAAAAGGTGCTCCTGGGAATCTTGTTTTCCCATAGTACACTAGCCTTCCAGAGAGGTCTGCGTGAATTACGACTTAACTTTTAGAGAACTCCAGTCAGTTTTATAGGAAACCCAAAGTTTTTAAGGAAACTATACTTTGCTGAACACATATAAAGATATTTAAAAATGAAAAAGGCCTCAAGGCCCCCAACTTTGAACAAACAGGAAATAACTAATCTATTGTATAAGTCAACCTCAGAGCATCTGAGGCAAATGCTGCAGTATTAATTTTGAGCAAATGTATTCTTTAGTCCCTTTTTGTTCTCTTGGGCCCATGCATTAAAGTAACGACATTCAGTGATTAAACTATTTTAACCACTAGAAGAAATTAAGGTACACACTGAAATATTTCCCCCTAATTGGAAAATCACTGTTAGAAGTCAGAAGTGATCAATTTGACTCCTAGACGAGATTATAATTCTGCAACAGTGGCCAAGTCACTAAAGTCTCTGAGCCTGTTAGGCCAGTAGTAATGTCACAGAAAATAGCAGATTAGGACTCTCAGAGAATTGGTCCCTCCACTTAAAGCACCTGATGCAAAAGTCCTGTACAAAACACTAGCAAATTGAGTTCAGCAGCATATCAAAAGGATAATATAATGACCAAGTGAGATCTATTCGCAGAATGCAAGGATGAGTCAACATACAAAAATCAATTGACATATTACACTAACAGAATAAAGAAAAAGTCCCATATAATCATCTCAATTTAGGCAGGAAAAGCATTTGACAAAATTCAACACTTTTTTCACGATAGAAAACGACGACAACAACAACACTCAACAAACTCAGAAGAAAACATCTTCAACTAAAAGATCATATGTGAAAAACCCAAGCTATCATCATACTGTTATGGTGAAAGACTAAAAGCTTTTTCTGTAAAATTAGGAACAAGATAAGGATGTATATTTTCACCATATCTGCTTGACACAGTATTGAAATTCTAGCCAGAGAAATAAGGCAAGAAAAAGAAATAAAAGGCATCCAAACTGGAAAGGAAGATGTACAACCATCCGAATTTGTAGACAATCTGAAAATCCCAAAGAATACATGACACATATACACATAAATGGTAGAGCTAATAAATTCAGCAAAGTTTCAGAGTACAAGATCAACACACAAAAATCAGTTACGTTTCTTTACCCAAGCAATGAATAATATAAGGAAATTAAGAAAACATTTCATTCACAGCAGCACCAAAAAGAACAAAATACCTAGGAATAAATAAACAGAGGCAAAAGTCCTGTACACTGAAAACTACAAATTTTGGTGAAAAAAAATTAGACCCAAGTGGAAATATTTTGTGTTCATGGATGGTAGACTTAATATTGTTAAGATGGCAACATTCCCCCAACGTGAGCCACAGACTGAATGCAATCCCTATCAAAACACCAATGACTTCTTTTCCAAAATGGAAAAATACCAACCCTAAAATTCATATTGAAGGTGATGGAACCCCTAAGAGCCAAAACAATCTTGGGGAAAAAAAAGTTGAACTCATACTTTCAGATTTCAAAATTTATTACAAAGCTACAGTAATAAAAACACTATCATTCTTTATAAGAATAGTCTCTACAAGTGGTGCTGAGATTACTGGATAGCCAGCCACATGCAAGAGAATGAAGTTGGATCTCTACCTCATACCATACACAAAAATTAACTCAAAACGGAACAACCTAAATATAAAAGAGAATACTATAAAACTCTTAGAAGAAAATATATAAGTAAATCTTTATAACCTTGGATTTGGCAATGGATTCTTAAGTTGTGTCACTAATAAAATACTTCTAAATCATGAGTTTAGTATCCAGAAAATATAAAGAACTCTTACAAATCAATAGTAAAACAAGACAAACTAAAAAACAGGCCAAGAGCTTGAATAGATATTTCTCCAATGAAGACACACAAATGACCCACAAGCAAGTAACACTCACTAAAATGGCCATAATTTCTTCTTTTTTTTTAAAAAAAAAAAAAAACAAGAAGTGATAGCAAGCATATGAAAAACTTGGAGCCCTCATACATTGCTGCTAAGAGTGTAAAATGTTTCAGCCACGGTTGGAAACAATTTGGCTGTTCTTCAGAAAGTTAAACATAGTATTACCATATTTTCTAACAATTCTCTTAGGATATACCCAAAAGAATTGAAAACAGGTAGCCATGTACGTATGTGTTTTCATAGCAGCACTAGTAACTAAAGCCAAAAACCTGAATGTTTATGAAGAGGTGAATGAATAAACAGATTATGGGATATATATATATACACACACACACATATATATATAATGGAATATTATTTAGCCATAAAAAATTAAGTATTGATACTGTTCATTTTCAAATTACTAACTTTATGTGAATTTCATCTCAATATAAAAATATGAAACAAAAAGACTAAGTTAGATGATTTCTAAGATTTCATAAAGGTTTAAAATTATAAGTCTATAATTCTTCCTTATTTTCTGGATACAGAAGTTCAGCAGTTTAATGCCCTACTCTTGAATATGAGGAGACAAGCCAGGATCATAAGACATTTGAGGAACACTTCCAACATGAAATAAAGACTAAATGAGAAAAAAAGAGCATGGAAGACAACAGAGAGAATAGAAGAAAATTAGAAAACACTAATTTGTATTTTCAGAGTTAAAAAAACAAAACAAAACAAAACAGATGCATAGGATTCATGAAAAGGTGATCAGCAATCTTGTAAGTTAAAGCCATAGTTGTCAACGCAAAATTCAATGACATGGCTTAAAAGACACATTGCGCAAACTCCCAGACAACACTAGAATATTAATTAAATAGAATGTAGGAGATAATATAAAAAGACATTTTCTAAAAAAACAAAAACAAAAACAAAAACAAAAAAACTCCCTTAGTGCTACAGGGCATACATCTCTAGGCTGAAAGGGTTCTCTGATTGCCTAAGAATGGTTGGGGGTTGGCAACTGCAAGACATTATCATCAAACACAATCTATAAAAGAACACAGATGGAATGGTATTAGATTTCACAATACCCCAAACGACAGAAGACAATGTCTGCAAAGAAATGACACTGTTAAACTATCAATCATGAGCCTACTTACAGAGGTTCAGAAAATTTATTTCACGAATTCTTTCCTAGGAATTCACTTAATCAAAACCTCTAGTACGAAAGAGAAGAGAGTCCATGAAATGCAGCTTCCTAACAAAAATGTTAAGGAAAGTCCTAGAATATGAAATAGCTTAAAGAGCAAACAGATGTTTGAAGCAGAACAGTTCCACAACGGAGGTCTGAGAAAAGTGGCTTGATAGACTAAATATGAAGCAGCATCTGCATCTGAAAATACTGAAGCTATGATAACTATAAGGTAACAGCACAATAAGAAAGAAAATAAAAAATCTTCAAATAAAAATCTGTGGGTAGTACAAAAAAAAGTAATCGTCTTAAGTCGTCATAATGCAAATCTTAATGCACAAACTAGAACGTAATAAAGTATACAGGAAAGACAGAAGTGGGCAAGTTATGAAAGAACTAAATCTTATATGAGAAAGTCAATTAAAAATGTACATGGATTTATCAAAATATCAGCATAGCCATATAATTTGGTACTCCATATACAAATGTCTTTACAAGTAAAAGTAATTGCCTCTAGGTGGCAAAATTTGGGAAACAGGACAGGGATCTTGGGGTGTATTATTTTTTGGAAAGAATGTGCATGTGTTTGTATCTTGACAATTTTAAAAAATCAATAAAAATGACCGTTCATATGATTTTTGCTCATTCTTAGTATATCCACTCACCTTTGCCAAAATAAATCAATCTATGTAATTCGTGTGCTTACAGTTTATGTGTAAAATGTGATTTAAATCTTCACTTATGTAATAAAAGGAGCTACATTTCCATGCAAGTCTGCATAGTACCTTACAGGTTTGATTGTATTACATAAAGAAATCTTCATAATAGCTAACACATGTTGAGTGCTTAGCATATGCCTGAAATTGTTCAAAGCCCTTTACATTTACAATTCTTAATCTGCAAAATATCCCTCTGAGGCAGGTCCTATTATTACCCCATTTTAGACATGAGAAAACTGAGGTTCAGAGTTTATGGAACTCACCTAAAGTTAACGTTAGATCTAGAACTGGAAGTGAGGTACCCTAATGCCAAAGATGAGGGTACACCACCTTTACCCAAAGCTAATAACTCAATTGATGAGTTTAGATTTCCAAGTTTCATTTCTCTTCAACTTTTTAACTAAGAAAATTATTTCATTTTTTTGTGCTTTATAAAGATACATGTGAACAGTAACAAGACAGACACAAAACAGCATATAAGGAAACTATAGGCAACAATCTCAATCTTCAACAGCAATATTAATAATGATTTGATTTGATATCATGTGTCACAAAAATTCCACAGTACAATGACCACATATGAAATTTGAAGAGTACCAATTAAGTCAAAATGGCCTAGCTGGCAGATTCATTTAGACCTAACCAGATCTGCTTCACAAAATCGCCCTCTATATAAAGTTATTGCTTTAACAGTCTTTGCATAAAGATGTCATGGAAAGATTAAATAGAAACATGTGAAATCATTTGTTCATTTATTAACTTGTCAAATTCAGTTTTCTATACACTATGATGTTTATTCCATTTTGTACTATTAGATACACATATTTAAAAAAATATTTAACTTATTTTTATGAAGAAATTAAATATTTTCTGAAAAAGAATTATTTTATTATTGTTCTCTAGCAACAGACCTCAAACAATTCTCATCCAACTCAACTAACTCATTTAAATAACTTTGCTCAATGGCAACTTCTCTAAAGATCTAGTTTACACAATTCTATTCTACATAACACTGTTTACCCTGTTACATAGTATATAGTTAAAGAACATTTTTGTAATAAACATGTTTCTCTTTGATATGATACATAACAATATTTTCACACTTCCCAGCAATCACTCAAATATATTAAAAATGTATCCTTCTTTAAAAGGCACACACATTTACAGGTTCAAATCTTTATTGTTTTAAAATTGTACAGTTCTTTTACAATACAATATTTTGTTATTTAAATGACCTCTAAATGGTTAATGTGCAATGAATATCTTTTGTTCTGAAACTCAACCATGAATTACGATTTCATCAATATGATTATTCTAGAGTCATAAAGATGTTGGGAAGGTTTGAGTCTGCATTTGAAATGGTTAGTAGCACAGACTCTTCCCTTTAGAACCCAGATGACCAATCCATTGAAAGTGCTTTTGAAGATTGCTGATTATTTATGGCTGATCTTAAAATCAGTCAATCAAATTACAGTTCCTTTTTTTTGAAACATCAAAGGGCATTTAAGAAAACTGAAACAATTTGCTTTAGTAATCTACTGAGGCAAACTCAAAATGATTATCTGCATGCAATAACACTCCTCTTTAAATAGTTTTGAAGAATTTATACATTTTATAAAGAATGTGTTAAAGAGTGCAAGTATTCTGATACTGATTTCACAAAAGGACAAATGCTGGTAATAATAACATTTAACATCTAAGTTCAAGCTAGTGTATATTTAACAGGCAATTAATATGGCTCATCATAAGCCACAATGCACAAGGTATGCCCTTTGAGAAAATGAACTAGTTTGGTCCGCATTTCTAGAGTTGTCTGGGTAAAAACAAAAAACAAAAACCATTTTAATTCAGCCAAGGATTTTGATGAATTAATTATTCCTAAAATGAAGCCAGTTAAAAAGTAAATGATGTACACCAATGAAGCATATTGTCACGCTGACTTTTGCATAAAAAGATGGCCTGCTGTTTTTGGAGTGATGAATGAGCACTGCAGGACAAATCAGAAAAAAAAGTCATAGAATGTATTAATTTTGTCCGTAAGTTATACTTTCTTATTCCATGATACGGCTTTCACTCTGTAAAACTTTGTCCCCAAAGGAACTTTAAATCTGTTTTGTGCCTAAGAGGGAAAGAAAAAAATGGAATCACTAAAATGATTAAACCACATCTCACACACACACACACACACACACACACACACTCACACACAAAAACAAAAAGAAACAAAAAAATAAATAAACGATATCACACAAATACCCTCCTATCACATTACTCATTGCTGAGTATTGAAGGGTTGGAGGGATGTGATGGTCTTTATCAAACTATGTAAGATCTACCCCTCACCAACAAAGAATATATTGAGTGAATAGCAAAGACAAAGTTGGTAGCCACTGCTAAAGACTATAATACAAAGTGAGCCATACATCATTATTTTAAGTATCAAAGAAACCTCAATACTATATGGATCAAGTTCTATTCATGTTTTGTACATCGAGGCCCCAAATTATAGTGAGTCAAGAAGAATGCTCAGAAGGTTTCACTGATTATAGAGCACTGATATTGTTACACAATCAGTCCAATTTTTAAGTCACCAAATACTTTAGACTACCTTTCTTTAATGGGGGTAGAGTATGAAAATAATAAAACATCAACTGTATTTACAAATAAAATTCCCTTTTTGTCACTAGTTATGCAGGGATTTTTTTTTCCTACAAATTAGTTACACTAGTAACCTAACAGTCATAGAACACAGACTTCGTAGTAGTTTTCCATTATATATTGATAGGCTGTAGTTAATCTATCTCTACTATCTAAGGACAACATGAATACTTATAAATTGCCAGTTCAAACTCATTCTCATTAAAGTCAAGCTCTAACTCAAATAAGCATAAAAGCCAAGAACAGCAGTGGTAATGATTTCTATATAAAGCAGTATTAAAATATTCTTTATAGTTCCTAGGCTTAGTATCACATGATCTGGTTTTTACCTTTTTGGCTTGACAGTATTCTTTTTCCATTACTTTTCCAAGTACCCAGGGTCTTCTAGATGCACCTGAAGCTAAGGAAATTAAACAGTTAATTTCTTTTTGAAAGCATGATAATAATTATTCATGAAAACATAACTGCCAGAATTAAAACAGACTAAAAAAGCTCTCACAAGTGGAAGAATATGTAAGACTTCAAAAACTGCTGAAATCACTGAAATGCTTAACAATTTACAAAACTAAATTCATGTTACTTTTCAACCAGTAATGTGTGCATAGCTCTTGTTACTCTAAACGTACACGATATGTCAAGTCACAGAAATAACAGTTCAGGAAACACTAATAACCTAAGTACAAATCATGAACAAATATCTAGGAATTCTAGGCTAACACAATAGTGCCATCTATCGAAAGAACTAAAAGATAACCTTTCCCATTTCTTTAAGCAAACAAAATGTATAGGTTCAAAGCAAAACACTCTGAGGGGCAGTATTTTTAATACAACTTCTCAAAGGCAGCAACTGAACAGTTCTCACATCTGTACGCCATAGTGCTGGGCAAAAGAGTATGTATACAGCTGGTACTCAATAAATAACTAATAAGGGTTAAGAACCAAAAAAGCCTAGAAGGGCAGTACTTGTGTGAATGAAGGAAAGTTGAAAAATGTGAGAGAAGACAGGATAATCCTAGTCCTTATAAAGCCAAAATGTGACAAGTCAAGTGATATCCATTCTCTTTTAAAATTCATCAGAAAAGAAGCTGTCATACTAAAGTTGACTTCAAAAGTATTCAGGCAATAAACTACAGATGCCTCTCAAGGTTATGTCCAGATTAAACCCATCCCATATTGAAAATATCTAAGTTGAAAATGTATTTAAAACTTCTAATCTACCATACACCATAGCTTAGCCTAGTCTCAGAACATTTACATTAGCCTACAGTTGGGCAAAATCATCTAACAAAAAGCATATTTTAAAGTGCTGAATGTCTCGTGTAATTTACTGAAAACTAAAAGTGAAAAACAGAATGGTTGTATGGATACTGAAAGTAGGGTTTCTATGAATGTGTATCACTTTCGCACCATGGTAAATTAAAAAAATTTTAAGTAGAACTACCGTAAGTTGGGAACTGTCTATATTTTGTTTAGGCTAAACCCTTTGAAAGAAGGCATATGAATTTTTATTCCATAAAAATAATTTGGGAAGATATACATGAAAGATATCCCAAATAAATAATCAGAAATGAACCTGAAGAATACGATCAATGACAGAAACATAAAAGCTCTTGGACAACAGAGTGTGGTGACTTCTCTGAAGAGTAAACTAACACTTCACAGCCAATTACTAAGACCCAAAAAGAATCATCTAAACTAAATGCTTGTATGACGGCCGAGCTCCACTCTCAAAAGGCATAAAAACACTCTGGTAATCCACACTCTTCCAAGGCAACAACACAGTAGGGTAGCAGGACCCCAACTGGCATTCTTCAAAGGAAAAAAGGAAGGCGGGGTTATTCATGGTTAAGTAAGACTGTTAAATAAATTCTTTTCTGCAGTACTTGTGAAAGCCTTTAAAATGGCAGTGTGCATTTTAAAAAATGTTTTTTAATATTTCCCAGATTTAAACACTGAACTCTAAGAAAATGAACATGGAAATATTGAAAGGTAATAGGCTAAGATGTAACTTATCATCATGCAGTTCTGGGGGAAAAAAGTGTGCACACATTTGTGTATATTTATATATTAGATACATACACATAAAGAGATACTGTAAGTGGGGTAAAATGTTAACAGGTAAATCTGGGTCAAGAAATATGGGTTTTCTTTGTACTATAGTAATCTTTGCAACACTGTGTAAGTTTAAAAATCATATTCAAATAAAAAGTTTAAACAACTGAAAAAAACAAAAACATAAAAAACAAAAGAAATATCAGGTTCATTCTTTTCAAGGTAAAAAGTACTAAGTAAAAATAGTAAGTTATAAGCTATCTTCTCATTTTTCATGGTTACATGATTACTGTTTCATGGATACTCTAAACAGTCAACCACAAATAGCCATGATGGAGCTGTCACAGGAAAGCGGCCTAGTTCAAGACTAGGAATTTGTCAGCCTGGTCAACAAAGCGAGACCCTGTCTCTACAAAACAAAACAAAACAAAAAATGGGCATAGTGGTGGTGCACATCTATAGTCCCTAGTCCCAGCTACTCAGGAGGCTGAGGCAGGAAGATTTCTTGGGCCCAAGAGTTTAAGGCTACAGTGACCAATGATCATGTCACTGCACTCCAGCCTGGGTGACAGAGCAAAAACTCATCTTAAAGAAAAAAAAGGCCAGGTACAGTGGCTCAAGCCTGTAATCTCAGCACTTTGGGAGCCCAAGGCAGGCGGATCACGAGGTCAGGAGTTTGAGACCAGCCTAGCCAACATGGGGAAAACCCGTCTCTACTAAAAATACAAAAATTAGCTAGGCGTGGTGGCGCATGCCTGTAATTCCAGCTACTCGGGAAGCTGAGGAAGAAGAATTGCTTGAACCTGGGAGGTGGAAGCTGCAGTGAGCTGAGATTGTGCCACCGCACTCCAGCCTAGAAAACAGAGCAAGACTCCATCTCGAAAAAAATTATCTATCTATCTATCTATCTATCTATCTATCTATCTATCTATCTATCTGTCTATCTGTCTATCTATCTATCTGACTTTGTTTGCGAGGCAGTCCAATTAGATTAGGAACATCAATCTAAATGGACTTACTTATAGAACAGTATAATGATAAACAAGGTAGGAACACAGGATGATACAGGATAGACATTTTATAGTTTAAGAAAACTTTTGTTTTGCCAAAAAATAATGCTTTTATATAAACAAATAAGCCTACATTAATCTTGAATAGTCTGTACATGAGAATTCTGACAATATAATTATGCAACTGCTAGGGTATGAGATGTCCGAATCACTGCACATTCTTATCAACTGGTCCCTTGTATAAGCTACACTCCTTAACTCTGAATTGTAAATGGAATCCATGAAAATAATCTAGATAATGTAGATTTTATTAAAAAGCAGATTAAACAGGGTTCCCTCTTAGTGACTTAATTCTTATATAATTAAACAGGGAAAAAAAAATCTTTACTTATATAATTTCCTCCATTCCAGGTTTATATTTTAGTCATGGAATGACACTTACCACCCTCACCTGGTTTGAGATCCAGGGCAGGTAGAGACTCTGAATGTAGAAAATATAAAGTAGGACTAACAGTAAATAACACATAATTGTCATGGCGTTCGTCTAGGATGATGAGTACCAAATCTCCCACCTGAAAACTGAATAAAGAAATGCAATTTTATTGACTTAGAGTTACTTCTATCTCCCTATTCTGAAAACTTAATTATATATGCTTCAATGCTCAACTACATATTAAGATATTAACGCAAATATTAAATTTCACTTTTACATGATATTCTTTTTGTATTCTGCCCAGGTCCTAATGAGACTGCTGGTCATGCACAGATATTCAAAGGATGATGTCAGGGGCTGTCAAAGACCAAACATTTCTTTAATCAAGTTTCCATTATCTAACGTTAAGAAACTGGATGAAAAGCAGAAAAAGCACCCATTATAGTTTATCCAGTCACAGGAAGATTTTTTCTACTAATCTTTTATTTCACACCAAAAATTCAGAGAGACATCTCATATACAGTCACAGTGTCAAAGAAAAATTAGATCTTGTCTTCAAGCGCCGTGCTCTTCAATTTACAAGAAAAAGCAATTGAGCTAGGTCCGTAAGTGCTTAATTAGGTCTAAACAAGTCAACAGATACACTATTTTGGGGTATAAGCCCGAAAGAAGACAACAGGGAAAGAGAGAAGTGGGTACAACCAATTACATGCTTAAGTGGTATTTGTCTCTTTACAGCCTTTTTTAGAACTGTTGTTCAAAACATCAAAAGACCTTGAAAATCAATCTCATATTTTTCAGTTGTCAAGATCATTTAAGTTGGTAGATCCTATACCTAATAAATCATCAAAATCAGCTGGAGAAACTTTTAATGTCTTTTATTTATTAAGTTACCCTACAAATACTTATTGACTACCTAACAACCATGTGGCAGGTACTGTTTTGGCTAAACACCAAAAGCTAATAACTTAAAATGGGGAGTTGGGAGATGAGGCCTCTATGAGGCAGTATCTTTGGAGTTCCTCCCACTCTCTAGTCTCTGAAAGACCATTAATGAACTGCCCATTGACATGACATACAGCTGGTAAAGACAGATGCCACCAAGCCCTTTCAAATCACCGAGAGAAGATGAAATTTTAATAAGACATGAAAAGTCCGAATCACAGATATCTGACAACCAAAAATGTGGTCAACAAATTTAGAAATTTAGAAACAAAATACAAGAAGTTAAATAAAGGGTCTTAACTTTCACAACCTTCCTGTCAGGAATAACTCACTATTCATGAGTTGCTAACAATGCTTTTATTTTTCCAGAGCTCCACCTTAAATAACCAAAGCTAAAGAAAAATTGTAACTATGGGGTAAAACAGTTCAGGAAAATTATTAAACGATTCAACTGATAAATTCTGTAAACCAAAAATCAAATTTGAAGCCCCCCAAACCAACCATCTGAATGAACTTCCTCCTCTAGGCCAGTGCCCATAATATATAATTTAACCTGAAAGACTGGTTCAGGCCATGACAAGAGGCAGGGGTTGGACTTGCCTCATCATGTCCTCTTCCCTTTTAGAAATCAGGAAAAGCCAACAAGAATTTAACATTAACACAGAGGTTAAGCGTGATAAGAAACATTTACAAACTATTATCTGTCAAGCCTGCTACCTGGAGGCTTCATCTGCATGATAAAACTTTGGTCTCCACAACTTCTTATCTTAACCTAGACATTCCTTTCTACTGACAACTCTTTCAACTAACTGCCAATCAGAAAACTTTTAAATCTACCTGTATCTTGGAAGCTACCCTCCCACCTTTCACTTGTCCCACTTTGTGGACCAAACCAATTTGTATCTTCAATGTCTCATGTTTCCCTAAAATGTATGAAATCAAGCTTCCCCCTCACTACCATCCCTACCACCTTGGGCACATTTTCTCAGGGGCTCCTGAGGGCTGTGTCACAGGCCATGGTCACTCATATTTGACTCAGAATAAATCTCTTCAAATATTTTAGAGTCTGACTCTTTTCATTGACAATTTCAGTTTATTATGAATTTGTAGAATATTAATAAAAGGAAATCTAAAAGCTAAAAATAGGGAAACATTGCAACTTAAAAATAAATCAAAACTCTCCAATATAGATTAACAAGACTAACGAGATAAATGAGATGTAAAAGAGGTAGCACATGCTGAAAAGTTAACTGCAGGAAAAGGCTTCAAGGATATGTATGTGAATCATAATGCTATAATAGGAAAGTTTTGGCAATCTAAACATTTCCAGAATAACAATTTAGAAAAATCCTGCTTTCCAATAAAAAACTTTTACTACTACTGAGTGCAAAACAGTCAGCTCAATGAACCTGGACCTGAATTACTCTCACTGAAATACATTTTCATTAACAATTCGGGGAATGTTTTTCACAGAAAAATACCCACAAAACTAAAGTACTTACTCTCTAATAGCTATCTTTTCAGAATGCCTCGAAGATACTGAAGACATGCTCTGAGACATCTAAAAAAAGAAAAAAAAACAAGTTTATGAACTTACACAATTTGAGTACCACATGTATTCTTATCGCAAAAATTTCACCCACTGTTACATACATTCAAGTCTGTGTCCAGCTTTAAACAGCCCAAACTAATAACAGTTCTTATGTTCATTAATAATTCCTTTACTTCAACAATTAGCAAATTTGGTTAGATTAAAAACTGATTTTAGAATCACATTTTATTTACATTACATATTTAATCTTAAAAATAAAACAGAGAAAAGGACAAGTTTTTCAAAAAGGCTTTGAAAATTCTAATGCATTAGTTTCAAAATCTTTCCTTTTGGAAAAATAAAAATGTTGGAAACAAGTGCTCAGCACAGCCAAAAGAAACAAACACTTGAAAAATTTATCAGCAAAGCAACTTTACTTCTGCAGAAGGGTGCTGCTCGCAGCCGTCAAGGTTGCAAGAGAACACCAAACAAAGGAAGGAAGGGGTTTTTATCTCTAATGCAGTTTGTTTCTGTGTCCTATTGCCTAGGGTTGGACCACACAAACTAAGCTGATCCCAGTTGGCTTAGACCTAAACTTTTTACAAACAGGATTTGTTGAGAAAAGGAGAAGGCAGCGGGGAGAAGTGGATGGGGTTGATTTACAATCTTACAACTTATGAACAGGAAGTTGAGTCTTTGAAGAGGAACTTAGTTGTCCCAACATACAAAAACAAACAAACAAAAAACCCCCAAAAGATTTAAAATCTCAAGCCTGGGCAAAATGGTGAAACCCTGTCTCTACCAAAAATACAAAAAATTAGCTGGGCGTAATGGCAAGTGCCCATGGTCGCAGCTATTCGGAAGTCTGAGGTGGGAAGATCACCCGAGCCTGGGAGGCAGAGGTTAGAGTTATAATGCAGCAAGCAAAGACCACCTGGTGACCATCAAACAGGCCACCTGGAGGCAAAACGCTATCTGAGGAATTTAGAAGTAATTAAACTTTCCTAGCATGTGGATACAGGTCTTTTTCAAAAATGTTGTAAGTAACTAGAATTTCTACACATCTCCGGAATGTATGCATGCCAAAACTCACTGAGCAACCCTTGCTGACACTGAGACACAAAAATGTCTACAAATGTAATTTTATCATGACCCACATGGCCAATATTGGTACAAACTACCCTTAAGATCCCACCTTAAGGTCCATATATGCTTGTAGGGAAAATACACAACAGCGCTCAGTCCTCTCTTGCTGAGGCGCCCCACTACACTCTTCAGCAGCATTAGCTCTAATAAAACTTTCCTTTTTCAAACCTATACTGTTGTCGGTAAATTCTTCTTACCAACCCAGAGTCAACCACTTTGCAATGCCAGCGCTCTGACACCTTGCCTAGCAAACAATACTACTCTGGTTAAACTGGGGTAGGAGCATAAAGTTCTGAAGGCTGAGAACAAACCTCTTTTCTCATCTTCAATGCAACTTCTGAGATGCCTCAGTTTAAAAAAACTTGTGAACAATCACGAAACAAAGATGTGATAGCCACCCATTTCCTCTACTGATGATGAGCACAATGAAATGGTAACTGATAAGCTACCTGATAACCTATAGCCATACAGCTTTATATGGTAGCTGATAAGCTATAGCCATAGCTCAGTTGGGACTGTTCTGCTCTTCAAAGAAGCTTCAATCCATTTATCCACACCATCTCGTAAGACCTGGAGCATGGAAACCAAGGTCTTTGAAGCTTGAAAGGGTGGTAAAAACATCTATTTTTCCCAAGGAAAGCGAGCACAATGCATGGTTGCACAAACCAAGGACAGATAAGGATTTTTTTGTTTATTAAGTCAAATTTTGATGCTCTGAATTTCCTCCATTTCCCTCTGAACACTATCTGGTACAATGCAGGGCTCTCAATAGGTGTTTTAAAAAAGAGAAATAAAACAATAAATATTTAACTAGGAAGGCCTAAAACTGCATAGCAACTTACTAAAATTATCCAGACAAATGGTCTATATCCTGCCAGTGAAGACTGACCATCATTTTTAAGACTATAATTCAACTTTAATTTTTTAAAAGCTTAAGTTTTTTATGTATTATAAATGAAGACAATGGAAGAAAAAATTTGTGAATATAGCTGTAAGTCTATGTGAAAGTGTGATTTACATTTGGACACCTTTCTGAATGTGACTGTAATGCTCTCTGGGTCTGAAAGACAATTTATTCTGTGAAAAGAAAACAAACCTTGGGAACCAAAAATCACTAAGGAAAAGGGGAGGCCAAGCTGGGAACTACATCAGGCAAACCTGCCTCCCATTTTATTCCTAAAATAACATAGCTACAAAGACCTCACAATTTGCCCACAAGAAAATTTCTTGTGGACAAAGAACAGACAGAACTTGAAGTCATCCCTCTGTTCTTCTGCTCACGTGAAACAAATGCATATCTGATTGTTTCCTCGGCCCTACTGTTTCACTAAGTCAGACTAAAGCATAAGTGACAATTCCTCTACTCTCCTCTGACATGTAAATTGTGTATTCAGTGAAAGGCTAATCACAGTTTCAAAATAATGCAACCATTTGTCTCTTATCTACCTATGACCTGTAAGCCCTCTCCCCAGCTTTGAGTTGTCCCACCTTTCCAGACAGAACATCTTACAAATACTGGTTGATATCTCATGTCTCCCTAAAATGTATAAAACCAAGCTGTGATGTGTCCTGACCAACCTGGGCACAACAAGGTATTTTTATTTTTTAAACAAACTAAATTCTAAAACGTATTTCAAAACTTTTCAAAAGTACTGAACAGAAGCCTTAAACTGTTCCTACTACCTTGTAAACTGTAATTATCAGAATTTGAAAAAATAAAGTTATTGCTTTATTAAAACACATAATTTGCTATAAAATGGACTGTTCAAATAACTGGTTACATTCACAGGTTAAAGCCAAGGCAATTTGGCTGGGTGCAGCAAAATTCCAGGCAATTCCAATTTGCCTGGAATCCCAGCACTTGGGGAGGCTGAGGCAGGCAGATCACTTAAGCTCAGTAGTTCGAGCCCAGCCTGGACAAGATGGTGAAACCTCATCTCTACAAAAACAAAAAAACAAAACCTAAAACCAAACCAAAACAAAAATTAGCCAGGTGCGGTGGCACTCGCCTATACTCCCAGCTACTTGCTGAGCTAAGGCAGGAGGATTGCTTGAGCCAAAGAGGTTGAGGCTGCAGTGAGCCAAGACTGCACCACCACACTTCAGCCCGGGCAACAGAAAGAGACCTTGTCTCTATTTTTTTTTTTATTAAAAACAAAACAAAACAAAACCAGGGCAATTTACAGTACCATATGGGATCTCTTGCCTTTCAGGCACTTTCACCTAAAAATAAGACTCATGAAAAGGGCTGGGCGCAGAGGCTCACAGCTGTAAATAGCAGCACTTTGGGAGTCCAAGGCGGGCAGATCACTTGAGGCCAGGGGTTTGAGACCAGCCTGTCCAAAATGGAGAAATCCTGTCTCTACTAATTATGCAAAAATTAGCCGGGTGAGATGGTGCACACTTGTAATCCCAGCTATTTGAGAGACTAATGCACAAAAATCGCTTGAACCTGGTAGGTGGAGGTTGCAGTGAGTCGAGATTGCACCCACTCCAGCCTAAGCTACAGAGCAAGACTCTGTCTTAAAAAAAAAAAAAATTCATGAAAAGATATAAAGTATTAAAATTATGCACACTTGTGAGTAAATATATTAATCTTCAAAAGGCTTATGAAGCATAGCTCAAAACTGATTTTGATGATTCTTTCAAAAATAATCTTAGGTGCTTCAACTGATCAGATCTAAAGTCGTAAATTCGCCAAGACATTATTTAATTTCACACTAAGAAAAAAGTCCGAATCTAGAGTCAGGAGATAACTCTGGCCTGACTTCAGCATTCTGAAAATCAATAGGATTCAATGACCAACGTGGACCAACAAACCTACTATAGATAAGTCAATCAAAGCATACATCCTCTGATGGAATATAATGCAAATCATTTAAAATGTTAAGACCAATTTACCAAGAAGAAAAATCTTACCAGTCTTTGATTTAACCGTTTATTTTCTTCTTCTTTCAATTGCAATGTCTGCAGGTAGAAAAAAAAAGACCTGTGGTTTATCCTTGTACCTACTCAAATAAATCTAAACAGTGATTGTCAAAAAGTTTTCATCTGACAAAAATGTTTGGTTCGGGCATGAAAAGTTCATGGGGATATTATTTTCGATGAATCCTTTCCAACTGTTTTCATTATCTACTGGCTTAAATGAGAACCAGAGCAATTTTAGATACATTTACTAAGGACTGTCAAACATTAATACGCATTAGAAACACCTGTGAAATACATAAATATGTAGTAAAATCTGAGATCTATCCCCAGAGACTTTGTTAACTAAGTCATGCCTAAGAGAATATATCTGGCATCTGTAACATAACATCTCAGGTTAAGCTGACGTAGGAAATCACATAACCCTTTAATAATAGAAAACATGCTATATTCAAATGAAGTTGTACAATTCTGAATTTGGATTTTTATCAATTACACTTGTAAAGAAAAAAAGGCATTGTTGAAAATCTATACACCTAAAGAATGAAAAGTAATCTATGAACAATGATCTACCAAATGTGTACCAATTTGATCTTATAGTACCCTTAATAAAGGAAACCATTTATTATCAGTTTTTCCTTGTCTATTGCAATTCTTTATTTAAAACATAACTCCCTTCATTACTTATTTTTGTTTTTGCCCATTTCTAAAAAGTATTTAATACTTTGTTTTTGAAACAGATGTTTCAAATGGCTATTTATGTTATTTTGCTGAATTCTGAACTATTAGATAAAACTATTACTTTACACACGGATTCAATAAAAACTACCAACTTTTTCCTCTCATACAGACTTAATTCATTGGGAAATTACAAAAAATGGGAGGGTTGAAATACCACCAACTGCTTAGCTAGTAGTTTCTTTAACTGTATCCGAAAGTGAACATATTAAACATGGTACTTCAAGAAGATAATTTACTTACTCGTTCTAACAGCATTATCCGCTGTTTTTCTTCAGACAACATATGAATATTTTCTCTAAAAGTGAGAGAATAATTGAGTTTCGGTTTGAAATTCTAAACTTTACATTCTTCAAGATTTTAGAAATTAAAATATTAATACAGATCACTTTAATAATTTAAGGGTTTTCATAAATTTTCAAAAGCAGCTTATTTCAGTTAGCATGTAATTTCAATGTTGTATATTCTCTGTAGCAGACCTAGATCTACAAACCTTTTGAAATAATAAGTACAACTTTGTGTATGCATTTATCTAGAGATGTCTTTAAATTTCTTATTTTTCCCAGGTATTAAGAACCACTCTTCTTCCTACTTGTGATTGAATCCATGTTACTGATAAAGTCGTAGTTCTTGAGTGGCTAAAGACTTCAGCAGATTTACTAAGTGGATGCTATGTACTCACTAGTTACTATCCCAGGTGTGAATTTGCCCATTACACTAAAACATCCAAAAACAAACTAGAAAATTTTTTAAAATGCTGTAACATTAGAAAAAACAATTATTTAGGTTTTAAAATTCATCTACAGGTATAATCCCCCAATTATATTTTAAGCAACTTGATGCAAGGCAGGTATTCTGTCTTCTTCAACATGCTAATTCTTTAGGAAGAGGTTTTGCCTAATATAAAGATCATAAAGATTGAGTTCTGTAAGAGTTTTATAATTTTAGCTTTTACACTTAAGTCTATGATCTATTTAAGTCAACTTGTACATATGGTGAGGAAAGGGTCCAACTTCATCCTTTTGCATCAGGATATCAAGCTATGCTATCCCTGCACCATTTGCTGAAAAAGCGATTTCCTTCATGGAACTGCCTCAGCACCCTTAACCATAATGCAAGGGTTCAACTGACCATGAATACAAGGGCTTATTTTGGACTCTCAATTCTATTCCACTGATATATGTCAGGCTAGCACTACAGTGTCTATTACCCTCGCTTACAAATTTTAAAATTAGTCAAATAGTGTGAGACTTTGTTATTTTTCAAGATTGCTTTGGCTATTTTGGGACTCTTGCAATTCCATATAAATTTTAGGATCAGCTTGCCCTTTTCTGCAACAAACACAGTTCAGATTACGGTAACAATTGTGATGAATTTGCAGATCAATTTGGGACGGGCTATCATCTCAAGGAGATTAAGTCTTCCAGTCAGTAAACACAGGATGCCCTTCTGTCTTAACTTTTTTCCACAATGTTTTGTAATTTGTACAAGTCTTGAACTTCTTTGTTAAATCTATTCCTAAGTATTTTTACCTTTTTGATGCCATCAGAAAAGAAACTGTCTTTTAAATCTCATTTTTGGATGATTCATTGCTAGTAGAAAGAATGACAATTTTTTTTTAAGAGACAGAGTCTTGTTTTGTCGTCCCTGTTCACGAATTCCTAGGCTCAAGCGATCCTGCTGCCTCAGCCTCCTGAGTAGCTGGGACTACAGGTATGCACCACCACAGCCAGCGCCAGTTTGTTTTTGCACACTGAACCTGTATCCTCCAACATTACTGAACTAGTTTATTAATTACAGTATTTTTTTAGCGGAGTCCTTAGGATTTTCTAAATAAAAGATAAGGCTATGTATGCAAATAGAGTGTTTTATTTCTTGCTTACCAATCTAGATGCTTTTTTTTTTTTTTTTTTTTTTTTTTGGAGACGGAGTCTGGTTCTGTTGCCCAGGATGGAGCGCAGGGGCACAATCTGCAACCTCTGCCCCCCAGGTTCAATCAATTCTCCCGTTTCAGCCTCCCAAGGAGCTGGGATTACAGGTGCCCACCACCATGCCCAGCTAATTTTTCTATTTTTACTAGAGACCAGGTTTCACCACGTTGGCCAGGCTGATCTTGAACTCCTGACCTCAGGTGATCTGCCTATCTCAGCCTCCCAAAGTGCTGGGATTACAGGCATGAGCCACTGCATCTGGCCAATGCCTTTAATTTCTTTTTCTTGCCTAAGTGCCCTTGATAGAACTTCAAAGTACAATGTTGAGCAGCAGTGGCAAGAGCAGGCCATCTTCATCTTGATTTTAGGGGAAAAGCATCTTACATTATTGAGTATGATGTTAATTGTGGGTTCTCACAGATGCCTTTTAATAGGTTGAGGAAGTCATTTCCTAGTATGTTGAATGTTTTTATGATGAAAGGCTGTTGGGTTTTGTCAAAAGCTTTTTCTTCATCTATTGAGATAATCATGTTTTTTTCTGTCCATTCATTCTACTGATACAGTGTATGACATAAATTGACTTTTAGATGTTAAACCAACCTTGCATTTCTGAAACAAAGCCAATTGGAATTTGTTTTGTATTCTGCCAGATTGGATCTATTAGTATTTTGCTGATAATATTTGTGTCAATAGTTACAGAAGATGTGTTTTCTTCTTTTTGATATATTTGTCTGATTTGGTATTAGTATATAATACTGGCCTCACAGGCTTATATGAAGATGCAAATGACTGCTTTCCTCTGAGTGGGCAGGGGTGAGGTACAAAGGACCCTGCACCTACTGGTTTCTTATTGTGTACCAGACCTTCTCAAAGGTGCTCATTAAATTTAATGCCTGTCCGGGCGCAGTGGCTCAGGCCTGTAATCCCAGCACTCTGGGAGGCTGAGGCAGGTGGATGACCTGAGGTCAGGAGTTCGAGACCAGCCTGTCCAACATAGTGAAACCCCATCTCTACTAAAAATACAAAAATTAGCCAGGCATGGTGGCGGATGCCTGTAATCCCGGCTATCTACTCGGGACGCTGAGGCAGGAGAATCGCTTGAACCTGGGAGGTGGAGGTTGCAGTGAGCCAAGACTGTGCCATTGCACTCCACCTGGGGGACAAGAGTGAGACTTTGTCTCAAAAAAAAAAAAAAAAATTTAATGCCCAAAGCAACTATCTTGATGGAAAAATAAGGGAAGATGACTTGCTTAAGTTCCCAAGCAGGTGCCAGACTCAGAATTTGAACCTGGATCTGTTTGAACAAAGGGACCATGGTGATTCTATGATATCTTTTGGTAATCACTTGTTCGAATTACTTTATCTCACATGGGGGTGTAGTGTTCACTGACCCACTGGGCATAATTCTTTGTGTGGCATAATGATCTGGACTTTCTGCCCTTGGAATCTCAGTTCCCATATCTGAAATCCCAGAGGTGCAACTAGAAATGCAAACTCTACTTGCAAGGTCCTTTGGAGAGAAGCCCTTTCTCCTCCCAGTTCTGTGTCCCACAGATATAATTGTAAGCACAATTTTAGTGGTCTTTCACTATATTCAACAGAGAACTGTTAAGAAAGTTCTAAATTCCAGTAAGCTCTGCCAGGATTTCAATGTAATTCAGTAAACATTTGCTATATATGAATAAACAATAATAATAAAAAAACCGTTCCCTGCCTTTCCTCACCAAAATGAATATATTCATTACTACAATAACCCCTTTATAGGTAATGGACCACAAAATGTCAACATTCCTTGTAAGTAAGAATGGCTCAACACTACTGCCATGATCCTTACCTTGGCAGTATAGGATAATTCTGGTGCACATACTATGTACAGTATGAGAGTTCCCCAAAATAATTCATTCGGTAATGTTTTCTTACATTTACAGTTTAAAGAATTAAAATAGCACAACTTTCAGATATACGGGCTGTAGACAACCAGTAATGCTAAAAATATTTCCTCTCTTCAGAGCTTTATAACTTAGGGAATTGCACTACTGCTTTAAAAGCCTTAAATAACAGTTGAAAATAGCCATACTTACTGTACAGACATCATGCTTGTCTCCATTGCTGAATCCACTCTTCCTTCATCTGCTGTTTCCACAGCGGATCTATCTGATTCACCTGGGAGTTCAGGTGCACAAGCTCCATAAAGTTCTGGGGCTGTAGCTACATATGGTGAAGGAACAAAACTGCTACTACGCAACTTACTGACTTCTTCTTCAAGCTTTTTCTTTTCCTCAAGCAAACGAGCTCGATCTTCAGAAAGTGACTCTATCAAATCTGAAAGACCCCCAAATTGAAAAAAAGTATTATGTAATGAAAAAAACCATTTTGCATGAATGTATCTTTTTCACTTTGAAAAATTTAAAAAATAGTACAAAACAGTACAAACCTTTATCCCGTTCTTGTTGCTGCATTGTACTTTTCAACTTATCACTAAGATCGTTTATTATGTTTTCTTTTCTCATTTTCTCTCTTGTTAAAACAGTGTTAAAATTGGTCTGGAACAAGATAATAATAATTATTTAAATTTATCTACATGTACTTAGCAGCTAGGACTTAGAAAATAAACTTGCAAATATTCTTTTCTGTGGCACATTTGTACATGGAGATGATAGGGTGTGATTTGTGAAATGTTTTTAAAATGAAAATGCAACATACTGTGGGCAAAGGTTCTACTTCCTTGGTTCCAATTTAAGTCTCTTGAAAGCAAATCCTATTTTCTTATTATTGTCCATGTATTTACTGTCAGAGATTTTGAAATTTTGAAGAATTAGAAGAATCAGTAATTTAGAGTGCTGTTAGACACTTTTTTCCTGGAGTAATCATCCTGCCTCTGAAACCTTCCTTTTGTCTTGAGCATTTGATCACCACCCTAACAATTTTGGATATGACTCTATCTTCCTTATTTCTCTTATTTGGATATCTGCCATGGTCACTGGAATGCTGATTTATATTGGCTAGACTTGTTACTCCCCCACTTTTATAAACTCTACTATGAAGCTCACATACCCAACTGCCTGCATGGATCTCATGAGACAATCTGACAATTTTAACTGCACAGTTCTTTAATAAAGATGACTGAATTTGTTTAAAAATTTTGCTTAGGCCGGACTTGGTGGCTCATGCCTGTAATCTCAGCACTTTGGGAGACCGAGGTGGGAGGACTGCTTGAGCCCAGGAGTTTGAGACCAGCCTGAGCAACAAAGCAAGACTGAGACTCTACAAAAAATTTAAAAATTATCCGGGCGTGGTGGCACATGCTAGTAGTCCCAGCTATTGGGGAGACCAAGGTGGGAGGACTGTTTGAGCCCAGGAGTTCCAGGTTACAGTGAGCCATGATTGCACGACTGAATTCCAGCCTGAATGACAGAGTGAGACCCTGTCTCTTAAGAGGCAAAAAAAAAAAAAAAAAAAAAAAAAAAAAAATTTACTTACAAGATTTCTGAGCTTCTTGAAATGTAAAAGCAATGGATGAATGATGAAATGATCTAAATTGACTCTTCTCATCTGCCCAGTATTTCTAATTCCAAAATTTTAAGAGCTCTATGGTCCTTGGATCAATGAATAATGCTAACAATGCTGGCAATAGGGAGATTTAGGAAAAGTAACACAGTATTTTTAATAAAACTTTAATAAATTCATTAAATATTGAATTAAATACAATTTCTAGCCACAATTCATACAGGAAGATCTCTCAAAAAGAAACACGATATGGCTTTGTATTAAGCCATCTCTATGTATTTTATTTACATATAGAAAATAAACACTTATATAATATAAACCATTATGTTTATTTTCAAGATCTTTGCCATTTCTGTAATTTGAATTTTTAGGAAGATTATCACAACTTGTAATTGGCATACGAAAAAAGGAGGCTAGTTAAGAACCAATTAGTTCCAACTCAGAAATCACCTATACACAGTTAGGTACAAATCACCTTAAATAAATATAACTTAACATACACATCATGGAAAACTGGAAGGTACCTTAGAAGTCATTTCTCCCGCTCTTATTTTACAAATATTAAAAGAGGCATTAAAACATGAAAAACTAAGTTAGATAGCTGTCAATACTATACTTTTGGTTTCAGTTAATTCACTCTTAATTTTAGAAATTGTACACGTGTTTATAAAAGAACACACAGAGAGACAACGCAACACAGAGAGATGAATATGCAGAATAAATCATAGAGAAGAATCTATAAATCTAGATTCTTAGAGAGGTTACTAATGACCTTTTTATTGCTAATTCTTACTTAAAACTTGGCTATTCCTCCTCCCTGAACACTTAACTTTCCTTGGCTTCCCTTAAGCCACACACTTTTTTTTGTGGTTGCGCTTTCTCATTCCCTTTTCCCAGGCTCTTCTTTCTTTCCCTAGGCCTTAAAAATCTAAAATTGTTATGAGGTTTGAACTATATTTTCTTTCCACTCTCTGATTTACATTTTTTCAAATTCTACAAAGACACTAATTAATCATAACATTTTAGGAAAAGGAAAAATACCACATAATATTAGGAAATACCACACATTTTAGGAAAAGGAAAAATACTACATAATATTACATGTGTACAACAACCATAATATGCAGTTTCAGAAATGTATCCCTCAAAATGTATCCCGCAAACTGCAATATTTTCTCTGGCCTGAATCCTACCAGTAGCTACCAAATTGCTCTTTCAGCTGATTGCTTTGCAGTTCTCCAAACTTTCTCCACGTTCCAGTGGGTGATCTTCATTAAGTATCAATCTAATTATGCCATTGTATTTAGTTGCTGTCCAGTACTTTAGGTAAAGTACAAGTTCTCTAACAAGGCATCTGGTTTTTGATCTAGCCCCAACATACTTCACAAGCACTACCTCTTACTATAGACCAACAATAAGTACATTAACAAAATTCAACAATATTCCATCTTAATCTACTACCAGCCTATCAGAAGGATAAGAATTACAGAAAGTGTAGGATATTTATGTTGATCTGAATGTAATTTGGGATAACAAAGTTTAGAGAATTTGAAGCTTAGAGAAAAAATAAAAATCATTTTTCAAATTAAAAAAATCATTTCATAGAAAACTAATCTTAGTTCAAAGAGGTTAAATGATCTATCCAAGATCACATAGGTAGTGAAGAAACCAGGAACAAAATTCACATTCCCTCGCTTCTAATCAAAGACTATCTCATTTTGAAGCACCTGGTATTGTCATGTGACATATTAACATGAAAAATATTATTTTCCAGATGAGTAAAAAAACTAAAAAATAAAACATTCTTAAAAATACATGCTTTTGTCATGAGGAAATTTATTAACAGGATCAATGTAAGGAAAATCACATCTAAGATATAAGAAACCCTCAGCTACATAAAGAAATTATATTTGTTAGTTTACGTCTACCTTCTTTAGTTCTCAAATAAATGAAATGGGAAAAGAGATACAGACCTGTTGTTCTGCAATCAAAGATGTTCGAACATTTTGCATTTCTTCATTCTTTCTTTTTTCTTGCTCTTCAAGTTGTTCTAGAAACTTAGCTTTTTCTTCCTGAAGCTTTTCTTGAAGTTCAGCAACTAAGCTTGAAGAATCTTCTCTGGTAGAGTCAATAGCAGGACTTATAAATTAAATATAGCATTAAATTAAAAAAAAAACTACAGACACACAAATATACCAAATATCATATTTATGAAATTTATCTTCGTCAAGCCTAATAATGTAGCATGAAAGGTATCTGTGTGAACACTCTCTTTGAATCTAAAAAGTAAAGGGAAATATGTAAAAGCTTAATACAGATTAGATGCTGACACTAACAAGGTTTACTGATTTTTATCAGTATATCAGATACATTCAAGATAATTTGCTTGTATCAACATACATAAAAATCAAGAGGCTGCTCTGCCCATGGAGTAGCCATTCTTTTATTCTTTGGTCAAGCTCTGTGGCTCACACCTGCAATTCTAGCACTTTGGGAGGCCCAGGTGGGAGGATCCCCTTGAGCCCAAGAGTTTGAGATCAGCCTGGGCAGCAAAGTGAAACCCCACCTCTAAAAAAAAAAAAAAGAAAAAAAAAAAAATCAAGAGCCGAGTACAGTGGTGCATGCTGAGGTAGGAGAACTGCTTGAGCACAGACGTTCAAATCCTGCCTGGGCAACATAAGGAAAAAGTATTTTTTGGTAAGGGACTATACACATAGGAGATAGGTAAACTCAACTTCAAATGTCAGTTTTGCTATTCCTATACATGAAATTTACACAATGACTTAGGAAAAAAGAAACACCTAAAGATTGCGTATGTTGAAATGCTTTCATTTCCATAGAACAGGCTTTGATTCATTTTGGTATCAAGTAGGCAACACAAAGCTAAAACTGAAAAGTGTTTACACAAACAAATCTACATATTCCTGAACTCATACTCATTTCCTGAAGACTTGCTAACCTCTCAGGTGTTGCTGACAAAGTGCTAGAGATGAGAATAGGACAATGTAAGAAGAAATGAATAAACACTGGTTAGTGATTATTTTAACTTATAATTAATAACTCAATGACTTCTAATTATAACTTCTAAGTATTAATCTTATCTACTTTCAACTTAATAATCCTTAGCATTAAAAAAAGGTTTCTTCAAGAAGATGAAAAATGCTTAGTATTAAAATATGCTGCTAAGCCTCAAGAAGTTGCTGTTATTAAAAAACTACTTAACAGGTCAATTTTTAGGCTTAAATGTCCCTCTATTTGTTTTTAAATGATATGTTAATGTTTTTGAAATCAGGGTGTGTTCTGCAATTAATATGGGCATGTATTTAAAATGTTCACTCTACACGTATCTTACGTAATTTCCTAATCTAATTATATGATAGAAATACACTATTTATACCAACAATCACACAAAAAAATTATTGGAATCTTTTTATTCATGCTTCCAAATTTACTGATAAAAATCTAGTAACTTAAACTTGCTGCTCAGATAATCTTTCCCCCAAAGAGATAGCTTTAAACAGCCAAATGCAGAATATGCAGTTTGAAACATAGTATCTCTATCAAAGTCTGAGACTCCTTATTTAGTTCCCAGAAAGGCTGGAATAGGAATCCCCTATTATCCTTTCATAATATAATTAATTAAAGGACAGGATATATATTCCATAATATAATTAAGACGAAGGATTTACTTTTAAAGGTTCTCCTTTGGGGCTGAAGAGAGGGATGTGCAAGTTTAAACTATTCCATGGCTGGAAAACTGACATACTACATAAATCAAAGTCTTACTAAGGAACAAAAAGGGACTCAGACTACTAACAATGAAGTGCTTGGGATAAAAAAAAGTATAGGCAGGGTTTACAAATAATCCTGTTTGGCCAGTGTCTTCCTTGAAGAAATCTCCACAGTTCTAAGGTAAGCTGAAACTTTCAGGAGTAAAAAACAAGGCCGGGTTTTAAGGAGGAAATCAAGAGAGCACTGAAGTTGGAGAAGTGAAGGACAGATAGTAAACAGTAAAGGATATGAATTTCATTGCGAGTACCATATAAAGTCATTGAAAGTTTTGGTCTAGAGAATGATACCGTGTGAATCTAGGTTTTGAAAAGACTATTGTGAGAAAGGGTATTAGTAAGAAATGGGGCACAGTAAAGAAGCCTGAAGGAGAGCTTTCAACATGATAAAAGATCCTAGGATTGTATTAGAAAAAGTGTGGTTCAAATTGTGCAAGTGAGGGAGGGGAGGTCATGCACAGCCAGTACTTATAATTTCTAGGTGTCCTGCATCTTTGGATTGCCTGGGGTACTCCATTTCAGGGTCAGTGCTGTGCTGGGATAATACAGGGACAAGAGGACACAGTTCCAGGTACACAAACAGATATAGACACCACTGACACTCTGTAAACACTGTATCATCCCCAAAACCAGAATGAGAACACTAGGTGATTAGCATAGGGTATCTCATTTACTGACTCAAAGTAAAAGCAAAAAATGGACAAGTTATGACATGAAAAATATAACCATTATCCCGTACTGAAGACAGGTTTCTTATGGCTGTATTAATCCGGCCAAAAGTACATACTATGCTGTATTGTTTGAAGCTCCCATTAGAAAATGTTCCAAGTGACTATCTGCCACACAACTTCTATTGTACATTACCCTAGGATCTGAAATGGCCCTGCTATCAGGGGAATTAACCCTAGCAATGAAAGGCTAACAGCTAAAATAGGTTTTGTGTTTTAACTAGCATCACTGCCTTTCTTTGGGGAGCAAGTTGTGTAGAGGGGAGGGAGGTCATGAAGAAAAGGTTACAGTGTATCATAGTTTAGTTAGAAAAATATAGTAGTCCCCCTTTACCCACAGGGAATATGTTCCAAGACCCCCAGTGGATGCCTGAAACCGCAGATAGTAGCAAACCCTGTATTTTTTTTCCAATATATGCACTGTGGTCCTAACATTTGCAGTTTGAGGTGTGATGGTAAAAAGAGAATGAATTGTCTCCTTCTGCACAGTTTCACAGATAGATTGGGTCTTACTGTAGATCTTTGCAGTCTCAGCATTTAATTTTTTTTTCTTACTAAATCAAGAACTTTCATCTTTTCACTTAAACGAAGCACTTCAAGGCTTCTTTTTGGCACACCCAAATTGTCAGCATCATTACTCTTGTGCTTTGGAGCCATTAAATAAAGGTTACTTGAACACAAGGACTGTGATACTGATAACCTAGATGGCTAACAAATGACTAATGTGTGGAGACTGCACAGTATGGATACACTGGACAAATCGTGCTTCTCAAAACGGTATCCAATTTAAAACTCAGGAATTGTTTATTTCATTTAATACTTTCGAACCATGGGGTAAGCGAAACCATGAAGAACGAAATCACATAAAATGAAACTAGAGAAGAGGGAATGACTGTATTTAATCTAACAACACTACAACAGAAACCTAAGGAATTCATCAATAAAGGTTGTCCACCTAAAAGAAACTTGCATAATCCTGTCTTTGCATATCTGAATACTTTAAAGAGGCCTGGACATTGAAACTCAAGGAAGCAGATACATTTGTTATCAGCTGGGAACTTTAGTATCACGGAAACTTGAAAAAAAGCATCTCTAAAGGTTGACAGTTTTTCCCACCATTAAAATGTCAGTTCTAGCAAAGGACTGTATTATATCCAAATATTTCTATCAACTAGAAAATTTACATTGAACATAAACTAGATTGTCTTGATGCTTGAACTCTTAACACTGACTAAATTAAAATGCGGCCTAGTAAACAGTTAGTTCACTGTTTTTTCAAAAAAAAAACATCTTCTATCACTTGAACCCCGGAGGCAGAGGTGGCAGTGAGCCGAGATCGCGACACTGCACTCCAACCTGGGCGACAAGAGCGAGACTCCGTCTCAAAAAAATAATAAACAAAATGAAAATCTCTTCTTTTGAAATTAGAATTACAAAATTGAAATGCTCCCACCCATACTCACTCAGATCCATATCACTACTTCCTAGGAGCAGGGACATTAATCATGTAGTAGGTAGATTTCCCGACCCACAAAAACCACATACACACATGTTCTGCTCTCATTTCCTTGTACAAAGGTACAGGAGAAAGCTTTCTCCTACATTTTCAAAACTAATATAAACTATTAATAACTCCAAATTAAATAGAAGATATTCTGATCTTGCATTTCCTGAATCACAAGTAGACCGGACAGTATTTACATTTTGGCCATTTGTATTTCTTCTTTGATCTCGTCATATCTCTGTCCATTTTTCTAACAGATTGTGCGCCTTTTTCTTATTGATTTACTGTGGGAGCTCTTGACATTACAGACATAGCTAATTTGCGTATCCATATCTTACAAATGTTTCTCCTTCGCAGCTGGCCTCTCAATGTTGCTTCTGGCATATGTAGAACCTAGTGGTGAAAGGGAAATGTGCCGGACTGTGTCCTCACATAAGCATCATTCTTCTTCAAAGGTTTCCTCTGCATGACAGAGAAGCCAGGGATATTATCCAGAATTCCTTCCTCAGTAGGTTCTATGTTTGAGTTTGCCAGTGGAAGATACCCACACCTGACCTGGGATGCTGAAGTGAGAAACTCTGGAGGTGGTTGTAGCCAAACATGTGGGCAATGTGAGATTCATAAGAGATTTCCAAGTAAACCACCTGTTTGGGGGTCTTGGTAGACAACTGATGAAAGTCTTCGAACAACTGTAGCAGTTTCCTAAGCCACCAACTTTGGTGGTTCAGATGATTTTCTATTATAGATCTCCTGGCCTTCACCAGATTACTATCCAGTCTCCAGTTCTCCCAACATTCGTGTAAACTCTAAATCTGATACTAATCCCTTTAATCCTGAAATATTTAAAAGTGGTTGTTTTATAAGCTCAATCCCGATACAAAAAACGACTCTAGAGGAAAAAAAAAAAAAAATCCCATAAAACATGGAAATCTGAGATTAATTCTCTGATCTGAAAGCAGTAATGACCCTCATTGCCAGTGCAAATATGAACACTGGAAGACCAGGGCAGTACACGGCGGAACAGCAGACACTTGTAGTTGTTTGAAAACCAGTGACGACTAAGGAGAGGAAGGCTTTGGGACATGTCCCAGCTGTGCCTCCAAATCCCATCAAACCTCCCTTCCTGGAAGCAACAGCCTTTTCTACCTTGTCTGAGGAAATCAGTGTCCCTTCATTGAGGTAATCCTCTTCTCAATGAGATGATCCTTTTCAACAACATCTCCCACCATTACTTCCAGACCCGTGTGTACACTCAAACTGCCAGATCTCTGGAGATTTAAAAGTCTAACAAAGGAGGAATTGCAAAGCAATTACAGAATCTTTAATATATTTGGCAGAAAAACGGAAAATAAGTATGGGAATGGATCTAAGAGAGTTACAAGAGGAGGGACAAACTTTGCTAAGTTGACTGCCTGGAAAGTAGACTTAAGAATAACCAACATTAAATGAAAATTAGATGGCAAAATGAGATACTCTAGACCAAGGGGAGGTAAATCCAATCCGCGTGTTTTTTATAATTAAAGTCTTGTTGGAACATAGCCAAACTGTTCATTTATATTGTCTCACTGCTGTCTTGATAAATGGTACAGCTGGGTAGTTTGGATAAGGACCATTTGGCCCACAAAACCTAAAATATTTACTATCCGGGCCTCTATAGAAAGTTTGCCAATCATTTCTTCAGGCTCATGATTCCCAAAGAGTGATCCACAGAAGCCTGGGGTTAACCAAACACATTCAGAGAACGAGTGAAGTCAGAACTGTTTCCACAGTAACACTAAAGTGTTGTCGTTTTTCACCTTGTTAATATTGGCACCAATGATAAAACGCTGGCACCTGAACACACATTAAAGACATTAGCACCAAATTTTATGTGTAGTCATTTTGTCTTTCACCACAAGGCACTCAAAGTGGGGAGGAAAAAGGGGAGGTTGTTTTTCTTAGACTATTCTTGATATAGTAAAATTACTAGTTCTAAAATATGTCAAGAGTTGGAAGAGCTGCATTAACTCAGTGAACTAGTGTTTTCCAAACCAACTCATGATGCCATAAAATCATGCATGAGTAAAAGATTCAAGTACAAGAGATGTACCAATAAATGTTAAGATTATGAGAAAATCCACTGATAGCTTCATATTCCACAATAAAAACTAACATTCAGAAATTACCACTTGCTGATTTTGATTTAGTAACAAAGAATATCAACAATCATCTGAAAAGGCTATTTAAATATTCCTTTCTTTTTCCATTTACATTCAGCATAAGGTTGGATTTTTTTCCCATATACTTCAATCAAAACTTAAGAGATTTGCAAAATATATAGAACAATGGTACTCTTCGAACTAATTTTCATTTCAGACAAGTTTTTATTAAAAAGTCTTTATGTATGGCCAGGCATGGTGGCTCATGCCTGTAATCCCGGCACTTTGGGAGGCCAAGGTGGCGGATCACAAGGTCAGGAGATGCAGACCATCCTGGCTAACATGGTGAAACCCCGTCTCTACTAAAAATACAAAAAAAATTAGCTGGGCGTGGTGTCACCCACCTATAGTCCCAGCTACTCGGAGGGGAGCTGAGGCAGGGAATCACTTGAACCCAGGAGGTTGCAGTGAGCTGAGACTGCGCCACTGCACTCCAGCCTGGGCAACAGAGCGAGACTCTGTCTCAAAAAAAAAAAAAAAAGTCTTACATATGCCAACATGTAATAAGGTTATTTGAAAATGGCTAAGTTTCAATTTCTTGGCATTAATCTTTAGTACAGAAATACTGACATAATCCTATAAACAAAATCAGTTTTGGAGTCAATTTTTTGAGAGCATAAAAAGATACTGTGACAGAAGTTAGAGAGCCACTGTTCTTGTTTTTCACATATTTAAAAGATGGTAAACACACACATACAGATTATATTAATAAGTCTGTGTGTAACCTGCAAATGCTAAAATTTTTACTATCTGGACCTTTAAAAAACAAGTTTGCTGTCCAGGGATGGTGGCTCACACCTGTAATCCCAGCACTTCGGGAGGCGAGGCAGGTGGATAATCTGAGGTCAGGAGTTTGAGACCAGCCTGACGAACATGAAGGAAACCCTGTCTCTTATTAAAAATACAAAATTTAGCCAGGCATAGTGGGTACATGCCTATAATCTCAGCTACTCAAGAGGCTGAGGCAGGAGAACTGCTTGAATTTGGGAGGCGGAGGTTGCAGTGAGCAGAGATCATGCCACTGCACTCCAGCAGAGCAACAAGAGCGCAACTCTGTCTCAAAAACAAAACAAAACAAAAACATAAACAAAAACAAGTTGCTGACTCCTGATCTACAAGAAGGCATCCAAAGGCAGGTATACTGGAAGGGATTTATTACTTATACCCTCAGAGGGCCCAGAGAATACATTCTTTACCAAGGCTTTGCAAAATACATGCTTAAAAGGCTCTGTAGTGGTGCTCTGTAGAAAACAGAGAGCAGAGAGAGATGAGAACACTGAAATTCAATGAATTTAATGGGAATGACAGGCTTCTGGAGTGGCAGAGGTCAATTAGTGGCATTTCACCACCAGAAACATAATGCGGCTCTATCACAGGCAACAGAGCCAGAGCAGTAATTAGAAGGTTTTGACCCAGAGAAATCTGCGGTCGTGGTTGTCCGTAGGCCCTAATACAATGAACCGGTTAAAGACCTATTAAAACTGTAAAAACAAAACAAAACAGAAAACTCTAAATCTAGTATTCAGAGGCTTAGCTTATCAAGAGAATTCTAACCTTCACCTAATTCCAAGATCTGAGTTAGTTATCAACTACAATGCTGAAGAGATCTACAGCCATTTTCCAGACTCCTGGGTGAATACTGAACACCGGCTCTGAGAGGACTGTAGTGACTGTGGTCTACTAGGAGGAGGAGATTATTGGTGCTCATGTGACAGACTTTGGGCCCAATGGTTCCCTCATCGAGATAGGAACAAGTTGAATAACCCTTAATGGAAATGCTTGGGAGCAGAAGTGCTCTGAATTTCAGATACTGGAATACTTGTGTTATATTTACCAGTTGAGTATACCAAATGTGAAAATCCAAAATCCAAAAGGCTCCAATGAGCATTTCCTTTAAGCATCATGTCAGGGCTCAAAAAGTTTCAGATCTTGGAGCATTTTGGATTTGGAATACTCATCCTTACAGACTGGCAGAATCCCCGTGTTGCTTCCCTTACTCGTGGAACAAGGACTATTATGGTAGAAAAGGCCAAGTAAAATTCCTAAAACTCTCACTTCACATGACACAGGGGAGGGAGGTTTCTATCATGTTCTCATTCAACGTAAGTGTGTGTCCTGTCCAGAAGACATGGAGACAAACAATGGATTTTAATGAAATTTTTCAGGTGGAGACTGTTTAAAAGTGATAAGGCAAGACACAGGTTGAAATATATATGTATTCACTTGGAGAATTAATGATAGAATGAATTGACATAATAATTATGTTCTAGAAACTGTTTATTGGGTCACAAAACCCCCTTCAAAGATTAAAAATAAAAATACTAAAAACCATCTTCTGTGATCAAAAGGCAGTAACATCAGACAGTAACAATAATAAAAATATAAAACCACCACCAATCCACAACCAAAGTATCAAACCTGCAATTTAAAAACATCTTTCAAACACAGAGGAAATAACTGAAATTGTATTAATAACAATAAGGAACACTCTATATGTTCCTATCTATGATTTAGCCTTTAGTAAACAATATGCAGAAGACAATTTTACAGTCTTTTATATACTAAACTTAAAGAGAACACATATAGGTAGTTTTCTACTGAAGAGTTTAGAAAAAAACTGCGAATAAAGAGAGAAACTTAGAAGGAAAAACAAAGAGCTCTTTAAAACATTTCAAACTTTCAACAAAACATTTCTCTGAAAATCCAAACTGCTGATTCATTTTTTAAAAGCCACTCATGCATTTAGTCTGTTAGTTCTGTTTGCAAGAAACACTGACAAAGGGTAAAAGTTTTTACTTCATGAAAATACCCTAGTTGCTACATTTACCCAAGGTAAATGAGTAAATCAAGGTACTATGATTACACACACTTACAAAAACACACGAATCACTGATATTTTAATTTTATAATTACAGACTAAACTGAATTCTTACCTTTTTGCTATTTGGTTCTCAAGATGTTTTACTTTTTCTAATAACTGTTTCTCAACAACTTCTCTCTCCAATATAAATTCTTTTAGGGCAGTCTGAATAGCTTCATCTTTTTCACAATTAAGCTTCTGAATTAACTGTTCTCTGTCTTGTTCCTGGCTGATGACCAATTTTTGTTTGTCTTTCTCAAGGTTCTGGATAATAGCTTCATATTTCTCTTCTTGTTGGGTGATTTTTTCATCTTTCTGTTTTTCAAGAGCACTCAATTCCGAGTTCAATTTACTCTGCAGTTCAATTATTTGTTCTTTCAGGGTGTTTTCTATTTCAAATGCTTGGTGATGCAAAGATGTTACTTTGTTTAATTCAGCTTTAAGTATACTAGATTCTTCTTCATGTCTACTAATCAACTCAGAAATACACTGATCTTTTTCAATTGTCATTAAAGTTCTTAGCTCTGCTAAGCCCACCTGATAATTTTCATTATTATCCTGAATCTTTTGGTTGAGTTTACTAATTTCTGTTCTCAAATTTTCTGTCTCCTGTTCAAGAAGAGATTTCAAGGTCTCCTTCTGCTGGGCTCTGCTTTCTTCCAGCAAAATTTTTATTTCATCAGTTTCTGCTTCCTTCAATGCAAGTTCAACCTCTAACTTGCATCTCATGTCTGACAAATCAGAAACCTTGAGTTTTAATTCCTGTAACTGTTGTTCTTTTTCCTGGATAACTGCAGCATGAGATTCTTGTATTTGATTAATTATTTGTTGGTTTTCCTTTTTTAATTCCTCCAAAGAAATTCTGTGGTCTGTCATAACCTTCTCAAACTCTTGTATGTGCCTAACCTGAAGTGTGTCCTCTAATTCCTTTAGATGACTTTGCTCCAAAGACTGAAGTTCTGCCCTCAATAACTGTAACTTCTCATCATTTTCAACATGGAGCTTTTTTAAGTCTTCTAACACTATTTCTCGTGACTGCTTCAGTTCTTCAATTTCACAATTTTGAGAGTGCATTATATTTTCCATTTCTAACAACTTCTGATCCTTTTCATTCTGCAGGCAGATTACAGCTTCTTTTTCATGTTTAACCAAAGCAAATTCATTATCTTTATTTTGTAAAACCTCCTCAAGGCATACTAACTCTCCCTTCAATTTTTTAATTTTGTTTTCATTCTCTTCAGTTTCCTTTATTAGTGCATCAAGTTTACCTTCATATTCATTTTTTAAAGACTGTAGTTCTTTTTGATGTTTTTCTTTTAGTGTTATTTCCAGAGAACATTTTACTTTTTCAATAATGTTTCTTATTTCTACTGCTGTACATTTTAATGAATTTGAGAAGTCACACTGTTCTTTTTGTACAAATGTTCTAAAGTGGCAAAGGTCTTCCTTAATGGTTTGTATACTGAAGTGAGAGTCTTGGGCAACAACTCTACATCTTTCTAACTGGACATTCAGAGAAGCATGATCTCCAAAATTCTCCTTACCACATACATTTGTATCCTGCATACGTCTACTGTCTATTGCATTGATAACTGATGAATAAAGTGATTCCACCATCATTTCTGGGCTTTGTGGATCACTTATAGGATTAGGAGATGACAGATTTTCTTCTATTACAAATTCATTCACAGCAGACATAAAATCTGATTCAGGACTTTCTGCTAAAGAATCCAAGTCTAAAGAAACTTGGTGAATAGTCTGTTCTATGTTTGGATGGGGAATAGTTTCAAAATCAAATGTATGTGCATCAATGCTATCTGGAGATAATTCTTCTAAGGGACAAACTGCAGGACATAAGGGATCCTGAACAGTCAGCGGTGGAGGAGTTCTTGGTGAGGTAGTAGTTGTAATTCCTGCTGTACTTTCCATCCTTGGTGAAGAAGCAGACTGTGGGGATGTCTGACTCACAGATGCCTGGAAAACAGAAAGAAAGGCTTAAAGAGACGTACCAACACAAACATTTTTCACTAATGAAGAAAACTGTTTGAAAGAACTGAATTTGCCTTTTGTTCACTCAGTAGATCTGTAATGGTCTGTGACATTTCATCCAAACTTTGTGCTGCTTTTACCAAATTATGTAGAGCAAGTACATGCTGGTGTAGAGGTTCAAAGTCACAAAGTAAGGGAACCCTGAAACAGAATACAATGAAATTAGACCTCTGATTTCTTAATGAAATAGCAGATAATAGCTACCAAATATTTTGATATGTCAAAAATAACCAGAGCCTTATCATTCCTTTTAAAATTAATACCAGAAGTACTTTAAGAACTTTGTGTCATAATCAGTAAAGTAAAAACTTAGGGCCAAGCGTGGTGGATCACACCTATAATTCCAGCACTTTGGGAGGCCTAGGCAGGCGGATCACGAGGTCAGGAGTTCGAGACCGGCCTGGCCAACATGGTGAAACCGTATCTCTACTAAAAATACAAAAATTAGCAGGGCGTGGTGATGGGCTCCTGTAATCCCAGCTACTCAGGAGGCTGAGGCAGGAGAATTGCTGGAACATGGGAGGTGAACGTTGCAGTGAGCCGATATCGCGCCACTGCACTCCAGCCTGGGTGAGCCTGTCTGAGACAGACAGAGCGAGACTCCGTCTCAAGAAAAAAAATATATATATATAAAAAGTCAGAAATTTCCCAACAGCATGCAAAAAGTAACTACTGGAAAAAAAAAATTACAGGTAAGGCATACCTTCCTTTACTTTACCTTCATTTTCGATCATTTTTTATTCCTCAGAAATTTCTCAAAGCAGTCACAGGAAAGCCAGTCTATCATAAATATTTCTTATCTTGGCACCTCTTAAGATTACTGGTACTACCTGGCACAACTCCAGAATAATAAAAACATTTTAAGGTTATAAATTAGTTTAAAATACTGATGACATTTACCTGAGGAATGGCTGAACTTCCGAAGGACAAAATGATTGCAGAAACTGTAAATCTTTTAATGAAATATCTGGAAGTTCACAGTCAAACTTTCGAGGCTTCTGAGTCTGTACCAAAAAATAAATTAATTAAAAAAAATTTTTAAAACAAAAAACAGAGCGCAAATTTATATGATTTCTTACTATAATTAAATTTACTATACCAAACAAACTAAAATGCTTTAAATGATTAAGAAACAAAAAAAGAAATATCATTCAATAAAGACATGGCATATTATTTTTCTGAGCCTTTAGTAAACTGGGACGTGAACGGCTAGTGATCAAGGGATGCGCTTGTTCCTCCCCTTCTCTGCGTTTAGCATCATTTTATGGGAATTACAGTATTCCTATCCTGTATGTATGTGCGCGTGTGTGTGTGTGTATATAAATATGGTAAATATATATGTAAGTACATATATATTTACCACGTTAAAGTCACTAATATATTAAAATATACACATGTATTTTTTTTCCCATGTAACACTTTCTTATTTGCTGTTCCCTTGACCTTCCCATTACATATTCCAGAAGACAAAGTGTTGGTCAATTTTAGCTTCTATAAAAAATATTAACTGGTAAATCCTACCAATTCATTATTTATAAAATTGCCAAGAGTTGCATCAAAAAAAACTTCAATAGTTTTAAATCATTACTCAAGCAGATGTGGAGATGCCAAGATGTTCTTCATAAAAAAGAGTTCTCAGATAAACAAGTAGGGGAATCGCTATGTCATCAATTCTTAGATATTAAAAAATACATACATTTAAAACACTAAGAAATCCTGCAGTACAGAAACATGTTTAACAGCTAAGCACAGCTGGGCGTGGTGGTTCACGCCTGTAACCTGAACAATTTGGGAGGCCAACGTGGGCAAAAACACTTGGGGCCAGGAGTTTGAGATCAGCTGGCCAACATGGTGAAACCCTATCTCTACTAAAATACAAAAACTTAGCCAGATGCGGTGGCAGGCACCTGTAGTCCCAGCTACTTGGGAGGCTGAGGCACAAGAATAGTTTGAACCCAGGAGGTAGAGGTTGCAGTGAGACGAGATCGTGCCGCTGCACTCCAGCCTGGACAACAAAGCAAGACTCTGTCTCCAAAACAACAACAACACAGCTAAGCAGTACATCTGATGGGGGTAAAAGTCCCCATATTGCTTTGATCATGGAAACGTTTCTTCTCATGTAATAAAATTAATGACCCCAGATAATAATGGTTAAGAAATATACCAAACTAATATTTAATTTCAGTGAAGTCTAACTGAGGCTTTATTATTCTGATTTGTCAAAATATAAAGGGGGGTGGTGTGAAAATATAGAAGGGCAAGGAGGAGGCAGAGGCTGTAAAGGAGGAGGGAGGGAGAAGAGCGGTGGAAGAAAGAGGAGGGAAGGATGGAAAGAAAAAAAGGAAGAGACAACAAAACAAAAAAAACTAAGTGAATCTATTTCTACCAATCCTAACAGTGCAGTATAAGCTATCTTCCTGTGTTATGAAGATTCTTTATAAAAAATTACGAATGCAAATATCAATCTTTACGCTGACTTTTATCAAGCTTTATGCTGACTTTTAAAGTCAAAAACACTTTTATTTTGATTTTTTTAAAACCACAACAATTTCTGCAAGTTTCTGATAAATGCCTTTACTTCTGGAAAAAAGGTTTTAAAACATACGGAATTTAGTCATGGTTAGAAAATAAATACATACACAAAAGGAAGGGGGCCAGGAGTCCAGTCCCCTAAACAGACGATTTCTTAAAAAAGACTTCCCTGTATAAAGAAATTAACAATATGGTTATTTTTAGAGCTTTATTTAAGGCAAAAAATTATCTCTGGTTTTTGAAAAAGTAAACTAAAAGTTGACAGTACTTCAAGTTTAAAATTTAACAATGGATTCAATTCTATACATTTTAAAAGGAATGGTAATTAACAGCATATACATAAAGTATGCTACAGAAATCCAAGCTTATAAAAACTTTTTTCCTTTACAAAAGTAATTGAAATTATTAATGAACACTTACTAAATAATTTCCCAAAGGATTCCCTTTTTGATTTTTCTGCTTCATATAATCTCTTTCCATCTTTGACTAAAGCACCAGCCCACTAGAAGAGGAATGCTTACGTTAAACATAAACATACACCAATTCGTTAAACTTCATATACAGTTAAAATAGAATTCAACTTGCATACCTCCCTGTAGTGTTTTATGAACATTTTTCTTCTTACAACCTCAACAACAGCTAAGCAGTACATCTGAGGAACTGTACTAAGAGCTTCAACAATTTTGACTCTTTCTAACAGCTCTATCACGAGGCGGAGCAAAGCTTGTAACTTCTCTCCATCTTGATCAGCATGAAGCATTACAAAGCAACACCACCTAGAGAATAAAATCCATTATTTTCAAAATTCACAAAACTTTACTTAGTTACTTAGTAAGTTTACTAACTTAGTTAAGCCAAAGAAATCAAGATATATAAGCTCTACAAAATTCATCAATAAGGTATTTCAATAAAATGGCAAGGGAAAAACTACCCCATCATTTGGGAGAAATAAATATAAACATCAACTCTAAACATCTTAAAACAGATATATAAATGAATCACTTACTTCAGTCTGACATGTAGGTTATTTGCTAGTTCTTGTTTGGCAGTGGTACACTTCTGCTTAATATCTAACAGTTTTCTATGATTTTGCAACATAATCATCAACTGATTCGCGTGACTCAGGCATAAATCAGGTAATACAGATGCATCCTTTAAGTTTTCAGCTCTCTTCTGATTAGCTAAAAATCCCTTTGAGAAAAAAAGTGTTTCAAAGGACATTAATTTTGTTTCATGAAAGGTATGGACATTCAGTTAAGTGGAAAATCTTTATGTTAAACACAGCCCGTTCTGTGCCTTCCAACAATATTTTTAAATCCTCTATTTTTCTTGAATGTAGAAGATGCAAAAATGGCACAAGAACTAGAATTTTTAAGAATCCTATGCTCATCTTTAATTTTTCAAACTAGAAGAAAACAAAGGCTGGAAAGATAAAGCCACTTAGCCAAGGACATATTTAGTAGTCGATGAGAACTAGAAGCTGTGTGTCTAGACTCCTATAGCATTATCGGTCAGTCACAGCACAAACAAAACAAGGTCACTGAAAAACAATGAGGGATTTAATAGTACATTAGACACTTTCCCAAAATACAAAACTAATAAAATGCCCTTATAATATTTATCGAAAAGTCACTGCCCTCTCCAGTTATCGCTGGACTATATTTTGTTCCACTGATCTGTGCTCCCATCACTAGGACAATGACTGAATTGTGTGATTTTGCACACAGTTAATACTTTATTATTTGGTAGAAAAACCTTTTTTTGGTTTTTCTTAGCTGTCCTTACTCATTTGTTTTTGTAGGTAAACGGTGTATCTGTCAAGTAGGGATTGTTTAAGTTACTAATTAATTCCGATAGATTTGTCATAATCTTCCTTCATCTCTCCCAAGTATATTTACTTTTCTTTATATGTGGTCCAAAGATAACCTAATAAGGTTATTACTTCATACTTTATTGCTACCACAAAGTTTTTCCCTATGCTATATACTAAGTGGCTTATATGTAATAATGCTTTAGGTTTTGTACATCCATCTGATTGCTCTATTGATACTGTAAATAAATCATTATCCTTCTAGGAACTTAACTTTATGACCAGCTAAAGGATAAGTGTGTCTTCCAATTTTCTGGTAGTTCTCTGTTTCATGTTTTCCTAAATATTACAATATTTAGATTTAAATGATGTATATTAAAGCCAAACTGGTTCAATACCCGAAAACAAGACAATTTTTATAGTAACTGCAAGCTTTTTCCTTTCAAGATACTCTTTGGTTAACTGCAACTATAATTTTTCTATAACGTAATCTATTAAAAAACAATTTGCTACTTTTATCTCCTTTCGCAAAGTCTGGTTTTCAATTACTTTTTATTGAATCCATGAAAAATACAGAATCAATCCCAAATCTAAATTCTAGACCATTAGTAAAGGATTTCCTGACACCAAAGCATGTAAGTACTGTATTGCTAAAAGAAGGAAAAAATACTGTTTTTCAATAAACTGAATTCCATATTTGCTCAACCATCCTCAATATAATCCAGACCAAATAGAAAAAAATCTCACAAATCATGTAGTACTAATTACTAATATTTCTACACACAAATAAGGTTTGACAGCTACATGATAGCACTACAGTACTCACAATCCTGTTACAGATGCATTCTGCCAACTTTGGTTTGGGAAGAAAACTCCCTGATATTTTCTAATTTTGCTGATACCCTTCAAGGATACGAATGGCTAGAGAACGAATATTCAGGGCTCCAGTGTTACACAGCTTCATAGGTTTGGTGAGTGAGGTTTTGTTTTGTTTTGTTTTTTGTTTCCTTGCCAAAACCATGTAGAAGGGTCTACAACAAATCCTCATAAATGTTGTGTTTTTAAGAAATTACCCCTTCAAAGGCATTTGAAATGGTCTGTATCTTATGAAATGTTCAGGCAATAAATAATAAATCCCTTTCCACAATTTCTTTTCCCTTTTAATTGGGAGTAGTTTTAAGTTTTAATTGCTATGTAGCTAGAATGTATTATACTACATTGTAAATGTATTTAGCAAGATGTTAAATCAACTCCTGAAACTGGCTAATCTGAATTTACCTAATTTTCACCAACCACATTCTGAAGGAAGTACTGACAAACTATCTGCAACAGGGAAATACCATTGGCAGCAACAAAAGTAACTGATGAGATACCTGTAAATAAAAATTTTACACTAGCCAGAGGCTAGATAGAATTGTAACATTTCTCAAATTCAAAAAACACAAATCCAAATTCTCATTTTATTAAGTATTGATGTGTTCTTACTATGTATGTATCAGGAATGTGTGGTAAGGCCTTGTAGAGAGAGCAATAGAAGACAGACTAGTGTCCTGCCTCCTTGGAGCTTATATTCTGGAAAGAGACTGTATTAAAAAGCATGTAATTAATAATTACAATTGCGGTACAGGATAAGTATAGCATACTAAGAGAAAATAAACCTGATGACGTGACCAAGACTTCAAGACTGGAAACGTCTGGCTGAGGAAGTGATGCTTCTGCTAAAACCTAGACTCTGTACATCCCTTGGCAGCCCAAATCATGACAATATAGGTGTGAAAAGTTGTCTCACTTACCATATACCTCTTAGCTTCAACTGGGTATCCCTTTTCTCTCATGAGCTCACTGAAAATAATCTTACTAACTGAATCCTCTCACAGTCAGATTCACTCAGGCACACTCAACTGAAATCTGTCTACCTCAGGGTCTACATTTCTGCCTTACAATTTTGCTCCCAATATACAATCAGACAACATAGATGACTTCTAAATACACTTACTATGAATACTTAGGAGTATCAAAAAATATCCATTGGAGAACTTAAATAATCAAATATTTAATTGCCTCAAAATGTTTAAAAGGACTATACCACTCAGGTATCAAAGAAAGAAAAGATATTTTATAAAAGTAAGAATATTATCTATAGTATTCATTTGGTGTTCTTTATAGTCCATGAGCTACCATAGTTTAAAACAATAGCAAAATACTACAAATAAATTAGGGGGAACGAAGATGTAGAAACAGGATGCTCTATGAGCATAAGACAACAAAAACTAACTTTATAATTTTCATCGGAACAGAAATTCTCACTCAATTTTACTTCAGTTTGGATTCACAGAGGTTACATGGTCAGATTTAGAAAGCAAACAAGAAAACCTCAAATACCCAAATAATGCATTCTTCCATTTTGAGAAAATAGTATTATCACCCCAACTATACTCCCAGAAAAATACTTTTCCTTGTATGACAAAACTCCATTTGCTGAAACCAAGTAGACTTGAGGGCAATATCAGCAATAAATAACTTTTTATATTATTAACAAATACAAAACCATCCAACGTACCTGCCTAATCGACTGTTCAAGTGATACAAAGCAGGAGGACTAACAGCAGTATTTTAAAATATTGAGAGATTAAGGGGAGCAAAGAAAAAGCAGAGAGAGAAAACTGGAGTGTCTAAGGTAAGAGAATTGAAAGCCCTGGTTTACTCCAT